TACCACTGCTTAGGTCACTGCAGGGCAAATATTACCACAGCTGAGGTAACTGAAGGGCAAATATTACCACTGTTTGGTCACTGCAGGGCAAATATTACCACCGCTGGGGTAATACCAGCTATATTTTACCTATATTACCTATATATTACCTGTTTACCTATATTTGCGCCGCTCAAGGTGGCTGCATGTTGGAGCAACTCTGTTACATTCATTTTGAGATTTTGCTTTTGGAAACTGTAATTCCTCTTTTTCTGGATGTAAATCACATTTTTTGGATGATTGTTTCCTCTGGTATCGGATGCTGTGCAGCTGGAAGGATTTTTACTGAAACTTTTTTAGTTTTGGACATTTGTTATGATGCGTAACTATGGCAACAAGGCTGTTTTCTACAACCAACAGCAGCTGATTAACATCTCAAAAGCTCAAATAATATCTCAACTACAGCCCCAAATCTCAAGTGAGTTGAAAAGGATGTTCTGTGGACGTATTCTCATCTACCTGCCAGCTGTGCTCGAGTGCCTGATCACTGAGATGATGGAACTAGCAGGAAACGCGGCTCGTGACAGCGGAAGGACAGGATCGTCCCTCGGCACCTACAGTTGGCTGTCCGCAGTGACGAGGAGCTCGGCAGACTGCTGGGAGGAGTGGCCATCGCTCTGGGAGGAGTTTTGCCCAGAATTTGGGCGGTCCTACAGCCCGAGGGGAACCGAGATGCCAGCCGAGTCTGGGTGGACGGAGCAGACGGCATCTGCAGCCAGTTTCTTAGGATCCACTGTGGGATGGACCTTTACAAGAGATCCTTCCTGTTTACAGCCATCAGTGTCTATAACATATCTTAATGAAATGAGGATAATGAGTTACAACAACAAATAATTTCCCTCTGGGATTAATAAAGTATTTTTGAATTTGAATTTGAATTTAACTGGAGGGCAAACATTACCACAGCTGAGATAACGGGAGGGCAGATCAGTGTTTCCCCTAGTTAGCTTGCCATGGCGGGGTGCTCATCTTATCCATGATTTTTGCTGATGGGGGGGGGGAGATGGAGACATGTCGGAGCGCAGCTTGTACTAACAGTTTTTGAGCATGGATGGGTGGTGTTCAGCTTGTGGGAAGATACAATTTGAGTGCTGCCTTTGGCTTTTTAGCTAGAGAGCCTGTATTTTGAGCCACTAGCGTAATGATATATCAGTGCTAGGTGGGGGTGGGAGGGGCAAGTTCAGTTTGGTAGGCGGGGTGCTCAGCTCTGTTGTCGGGGTGGGGCACCATGCCTGTATAATGGTAGGGGAAACACTGCAGATATTACCATAGCTGAGGTCACTGGAGGGCAACTATTACTACTGCTGAGGTCAGTGCAGGGCAAATATTACCACAGCTGATGTCACTGTACAGGGCTAATATTACCACGGCTGATCTCACTAGAGGGCAAATATTACCATAGCTAAGGTCACTGCAAGGCAAATATTATCGTAGTTGAGGTCATTGCAGGGCAAATATTACCACAACTGAGGTCACTGGAGGGCAAATATTACCACAGTTGAGGTCACTTGGAGCAAATATTACCACAGCTGATGTCACTGCAGGGCAAATATTACCATAGCTAAGGTCACTGCAAGGCAAATATTACCATAGTTGAGGTCATTGCAGGGCAAATATTACCACAACTGAGGTCACTGGAGGGCAAATATTACCATAGCTGAGGTTGGGTTCAAACAAGACTCATCTGACCCAGACAGAACTGTGATAACTGGTCTTTGTGTTTATAAGTCATCACTATATCAAATCAACATAAAACCCGTTATGTGAAAGTCAAACATTACTTATACTTTTACTAAAACATAATTTTATTTGTTTTACCAAGTTTTCTTTCAATAACTTAAAAAATGTCAATACTTCTGCATATACAGGTAAACATAGTGTAAAGGGTCTATGTTTTCATGCTGTAATATTACACCTACTGTCAGGCTGGAAACATTTCTTACTCTGAAGGTGGGGCAGCATGAAAGTTTGACTTAAATGATCTGTTGGCAGTAAAACAGATTGTGGAGGCAAACGTCACAGCTCACATGAAGCACTCTATACAGAACTCTGAGGTAAATGTAACTGCAAGTTTCTTTCTCTTGTCTCCTGGGGGACAGCTTCATGGCCCCCAGAACTGTGCATGAGCACTCATTGAAGTCCAGCTAACATAGTCCCATGTTTCCCTCTGTGCGTTTCAGACTGCAGAAGAAGGTGGTGAGACTGTAGCTTGTTACAGCGTGTGTGTTAGCCTGGGAGAAGAAATGGCTGACAGCCGCTGGTGCGTCCAGAGGAAACTCACTGAATTCCAGATGTTGCACCGTAAACTCACCGAGGTAACACAAACATCATTTGTAACAAGCTGCTGTATAACTAAAACCAGCTTATTGACCCTCAGTGGACCAGAGAAACACAAGTGTTTTTTCATTGTTTCTTGTTATGAATCGACAAAAAGCATGTAACCATTAATCAGCTGGATTTTCCATGTCAGGCACAGTTGCCAGTTAGGAAATGAAGATGGTTTAAGATGAGGTGTGTGTTGTGCATGTTCCCAAAAAGGACCCCTCCTTTCTCAAAGGGCTCAAAGGGTAATTGTTATTTATCTGGCAACAATGATACCAGGCTACAATATGAGATGCAGTCCCAGCATGAGAAATAAAGCAGTTCCATCCAACATGGTGACTACAGGAAGCTTTGGCTGGACTGAGGATGAGGTTGAGCTGCTGCTACACCACACCTCTGCAGGGGCTCCCTCAGAAACCTCCCCTCTGAGACCAGGACTCAAAAACCTCCCCTTTGAGACCAGGACTCAGAAACCTCTCCTCTGAGAGCAGGACTAAGAAACCTCCCTTTTGAGACCAGGACTCAGAAACCTCCCCTCTGAGACCAGGACTCAAAAACCTCCCCTTTGAGACCAGGACTCAGAAACCTCCCCTCTGAGACTAGGACTCAAAAACCTCCTTTCTGAGACCAGGACTCAGAAACCTCCCTGCTAAGACCAGGACTTGAGACCTCCCCTCTGTGACGAGGACCCAGAAACCTCCGCTCTGAGACTGAGACCAGGACTCGAAACCTCCACTCTGAGACTAGGACTCGAAACCTCCGCTCTGAGACCAGGACTCGTAACCTCCGCTCTGAGACCAGGACTCGAGACCTCCCCTCTGTGACCAGGACCCAGAAACCTCCCCTCTGAGACCAAGACTCAGAAACCTCCGCTCTGAGACCAGGACCCAGAAACCTTCCCTCTGAGACCAGGACCCAGAAACCTCCCCTCTGAAACCAGGACTCAGAAACCTCAGCTCTGAGACCAGGACTCGAAATCTCCGCTCTGAGACCAGGACTCAGAAACTTCCCCTCTGAGACCAGGACTCAGAAACCTCCGCTCTGAGACCAGGACCCAGAAACCTCTGCTCTGAGACCAGGACTAAGAAACCTCTGCTCTGAGACCAGGACTCAGAAACCTCTGCTCTGAGACCAGGACTCAGAAACCTCCCCTCTGAGACCAGGACTCAGAAACCTCCCCTTTGAGACCAGGACTCAGAAACCTCCCCTCTGAGACCAGGACTCAAAAACCTCCTTTCTGAGACCAGGACTCAGAAACCTCCCCTCTGAGACCAGGACTCAAAAACCTCCTTTCTGAGACCAGGACTCGAAACCTCCCCTCTGTGACCAGGACCCAGATACCTCCCCTCTGAGACCAGGACTCGAAACCTCCGCTCTGAGACCAGGACTCGGAAACCTTCAGTTTCAGAGGAAACGTTGTTGTGAACACAAACGGCCTCCCCACTGAAGTGAGGCAGGGACTGCTTTTCTGTAGCTTCACTACTAATTAATTATTCTTAAAGCTAGTTTAAGCACAAAGAATATTAATTATTTAAATACAACGGATTCTTTCTTTTTCGAGTTAAATTAATGCCATGTGACCGAGATAACTGTGAGGATTGTTTAATCAGTGACATGAGATGCCATTTTTCTTTGACCCATCAGAATAAATGCGGTCATTTATTTAACAGAATCAAAATTTAACATCAAGACATGTACACATTGATTTGCTGATCTGGTTCTGATTAATAAAAACTTGGCACGCTTTACTAACAAGACAACAGAACATTTCTGAAGGCATCTAGATTACTGGCAAAATAGAAAAGTTTAAAGGAAGGAATGGAGAAGTTTAAAAGAAGATGGATGAAGGAAGATGTATGTTTGTTGACCAGAATTAGCACGCTTCTTTCAACACCAGCTCAAACCCCCGGTCCACTTAGTGCGCGACACTCGTGACGTCTCTTTACCTTTGCAGATGAGGATCAGCTCCAGTATAGATGTCCCTATGCACGCTACCTTTCCAGCGTCTCCGGTCAGGGTGGCTGGTCATCGTCAGAAGTCGTGTGGTTTACTCCGTTCAAAAGAACAAGCTACCTTTGAAGTTGTAGGGCGTTATGCCCGGGTGAGTTCACAGCGAAGCGCTGTGACTCCGCTGGGATGGACGGACCCTCTTCTCACAGTCAAATCCATCAGCTATTGATTGAATCTGAAAGTTCCTTAGGAACTCTCAGGAACTTCAGTCAGAGATTCCACTCAGAAGTGGAAGACTCCATGAAAGACTGAGTAAGACTCCAGGAAGATTCCGGTCAAAGACTGAAGACTAAAAACTGCTTAGTCCCAGGAAGTGTCGACTTTTAAAAGAGTACTCTCTTCCGGTCACTTAGTACTTCCTGATTGGTTGAAACAACCAGCAGGGGGGTGGTTCTAGTGATGTCAGAGGGTTATTAAAAGTCAAGAGGGGATGCAGGAATGTTTAGGAACGATTAGTACAGACAGAGAAATGTTTTGAAGAAGTGAGAGGAAGCAGGTGCCAGTTGCTTCTTTTTTTTTACCGTCTGCTAGGTTTAAAAACAAGACACTTCGTTCTAATAACTTGTTTTCTGACTGTCTCTGACTTTCGACCGACATCACTACTCCTCATTCAGACAGAAGATCAAAATGCATAATTACTTTGTAAATAGACATTTAACTTGATTTCTAATTTCTAATGAAGTTTAAAAATCATTAATACTGTTTCACAGTCTATTTAAAATGAGTGGTTCACTTCAACATTTAGAAATGGTATGAACTAAACACACTTTGATTATCAAAAAGAAGAGTGTTCTTTCAGTTGATTAATTCAGGATACAATTAAACAGTCTCTGGATGAGCTAATTTGTATTTCTGGATTCAAATCAATGAAATAACAGTTCCTGTCCCATGAAGGTCTTCAGAGACGGATTGTTGTCGGAGGCCTAGTTCACTACACCACCATCTCAGACGTCTGCACCTCCGGGCGCTGAAGTCAGGAGAGTTCTGGTTCTGGCTGCTTCCTGTTCAAATGGATCCTTCTGATGATCCTTCCTGTTCAGTGATGGAGAGATGCACAGATTCTGATTTGAACAAATGTTTATTATAACTCGCTGGAACATCCAAGACTGTTCTAACGCTGTTTGTCAGATCAGCCTCATTTAAGCTGCAGCTCTGACAAAAGGGCCGAACAAGTCTGTTCATTTAGAGCTGTACCGAAATTTAGCTGCTCTTTGTTTGTTCAATAAAACAAATAAAAATCAACAGCCCACCAGCTCTTTGTGTTTTAGCTGAAACCAATTTTAAATTAATTTACAGATTTTAATCTTGATCCTCTAAATATAGTTGACATTGGATAAAAAAAAAATCAAAATCATGCCTTAATAAATGATCTGATGCTGCTTTTAAACAAAGTCACTGTCAACACGTTTCTATCCACACTGAATTGTGTAATAATAATTATTCATAATCATATAATTAAATATAAATTATTTGTTTAAATTATTATTGCTTGGGTAGCAGCACCAATGGTAGTTTTATAATAGTAAATACAGTATGTAACACATGAATATTTGAATTAAAATGTTTTGTTTTTAGTTCTCGTCTCATCATGGTTCCTGTTTGATGTGTGAGCTAACAGAGTGTTCAGTGAAGAGGAACCATCAGTCCAGTTCAGCGTCCTCTGCATGGACTGGACTGTAAACTAAACTTCTCATGAAGCAGCTTGAAGCTCTCCTCTGTCATTTATTAAACCCTTTTTGATTCTGATGGTGGTTCAATCTGTCAGAAACATGTTTTTACCCTGGTTTAATCATTTTTAAAACTTGTGTCTTTTTCTGTTTTCTCAGTGTTTTCCATCACTGAAGAAACTCCAGCTGCCATCACTGAGTAAACTCCCCTTCAAATCCATCGACCAGAAGTTTTTAGACAAGAGTAGAACCCAGCTCAATGCCTTCCTGCAGGTTAAAGAGCATCAGCTGTTTCTGTCAACAATGAGCCACGCTACATGATTTTACTGTGTGACATACATCTGTAATGCTGCATCCTAACCTTGGAGAAGAACAGTCCACTGTCCTGCCCTCAGGGTTAATGATGATCAACCCAGTTCTCTGTTTGTGTTTCAGCGACTCCTGACAGACGAGCGACTGTGTCAGTCAGAAGCTCTATACGCCTTCCTGAGTCCGTCACCAGAACACCTCAAGGTAAAAGCTCTCCTACAGAAATATTGCTCCTTTTAGGACATGTGGTAAGCTTATCAGTCTGTTCATGAGAATATGCCGTTCAAACGCAGAGTTCTGATCCTCGCAGCTGATTTGAGACTTTTCTACGACACTTTTGAGATGTCTAGAATCAACTTATATTTGTTGGCTAGAACGAATGGAACATCTAAGGTGGAACACAGTCTGTTGATGCTTGGCAGCATCAAATCAGACAAGGAACATGTTGTAATCATATAAAATAACCTGCAGCACCAGACAGGAAGTACGAGCTGTTAAAAACATCACTTTTTTTCTTGGTCAAGTTAGTCAAGAACACTTCACTGCAGCTCTGCTACAGAGCCAGAAACTACAGAGGGTGGTGCAAACAGCAGAGGACATCACTGGTAGCAGTCTCCACACCATCCAGGACATCTATCACAGCCTATGTCTGCGTAAAGCACGCAGCATCATTAAGGACCACACCCACCCATCACAAGGACCCTTCTGTCTACTACCCTCAGGCAGATTATACAGGAGTCTGCCATAGCATACAAAAAGACTAAAGGACAGCTATTATCCACAAGCTGTCAGATTACTAAACTCTCGAAAAAACAACACTGAACAACTGGCAATAACTGCACCAAGCGACATCTGTGACAACTAATGACTACTATTAGCTTGTGACACCTAATGTGTTTATTTCTTATTGCTGCTGCTCTATTTATGCTGTATCAAGACTGATACTAGACTATACCATGAATGCTACAGTATCTATGCATCTACCTTACCATCATAATTCAATCTCAGTGTCACTACCTGTGCAGTAACCTGTCACACAACCTGTGTAGTATTTCGGCTGCTCCCTTCTTCAGGGGTCGCCACAGCAAACTAAGTTGC